TGAATAGTTTTGTATATACAACAATGTTACCTTTGGATCATGATGTATTCCTCAAAGTAAAATTTGTGTAGTAGCTGCCAAGTGAACCCAGTTGGCATCACATAAGTTTCAGAGACATTTCATCTCTAACTGAGGCTATTCTTGATGGTTACGTGTTTCAAGCTGGCCAAGGGAACCAGATGATGGAGCTGAAGAAGAAGCCATCAGTATAGACTACTGTATTAATTCAGCTGGGGATTCGTCAATTTGACTGACCTCGTAACCATAAAAAAAAACCAAACTAAATCTAAGTTACCTTTCTTTCTTTCTAGAATGACTTCAAATTGTAACATGAAACTAAATTCGTTTTTCTTAAGTAGCTTTAAGCTCATAAAAGTATACATCTATTTATAATCAAATTTTATTGTTTCATTGCCTTTTGTACACTGTCTAACTACTATTCATGACATTATAAGTTGTAAGTAACTCAGGGAATATGCAGCTCACACTATGCTATCAAATTACATTACACATGAGCTACTGTGAGCTGCTCGCATGGATGCATGCCTCATGAAATATTTTAATTTTATTATTATTATTTATGTTACTTAATTTAATCTTAACTAACATAAAAAGACCCATATATTTACATTTTAATTACTTCTATATTAATAAATAAAGAATAAACATGAAAAACAAGAAATAATTTAATTATCCAATCTTCTTTTTCTCTTGCTATCGATTGTCGATGACAGTTAACCCTGTTTTTTTTATACTAATGGTAGTAATGCACCAAATAATTTTTACTTAATTAAATAATGCACCAAAGAACATTGACTAATAACATGCAAAAAGTAGACAATTTCTACTAACCCTCAACATATTTGTGTCTTTGTAACTATGCGACAAGAGCTGTTACAAGTTCATCTAAGGTAGTCATTAACCTTCCCATGGGAACGAAGCTTGTACTCTGAGCTCTGAGTGAATTGGACACTTACCTGTTGAGCATACATTATACAATACATAATTTGATAGATGAAGACCGTGACATTCTATTGGTTATAGGTAATATATAATTAAACATGAGAAAGAACTAATTACAAAGAGAGGATGCGTCACGTGGGTGTGGCAGGAGGGTTCTGATTTTCTATTTGATAGTTCTGTAACCAAACAAAATTGAAGGCTATAAAAATTATGGTTTGTCTGAACAATGACTATTTTATAGTAAGTAATTTCAATTTAATTTCATACATTTTGGAGGGGTGGAGGATGAAATACACAGGAGAAGATACCTGGAGAAAATGTGTCATATATGTTACACTAGGGAAAATATAGGATTTTTTAAAATATTGCCTTGGAGAATTAGAACTTAAAACTTATATAATATTAACTCTCTCAACCTGGGCTTGGTTTGTGGGACTGACCTTGTAACCATTTTGTACTTGTTATAATTTTCATGCAATAACGTTTAAATTAGTGAATGTTAATTAAATTTGGCAGTTTATCAGTAAACATTACAATGCTTTCATATGCAAAATATCAAATTTTTTTATTAAGTCTTAAAGTTTGTAAAGCAATTTTCTCTCATGCCTTTTTTTTTTTCACATCTTGCCTATCTATCATGCAAAGTAATTTTCATCTTGACATTAAAAATACTTTTGTGCATCAGAAAATTTCGAAATTTCACATGAAAAATCTTTATAATGTCCAAATAATTATCAAATGTTTCTTGAGAAAAACTTTATATTTTATCTGTTATTTTCAGTAATTAATCTCTGTATGGGTTTGGTAAATTTGACTGATCTCACAACCACCATAAAAAATTAGGAAATAAACATAAATTATCCCTCTTTCATTCTAGAATGAACACAAACTTTAACATGACAACATAAATGTTTAGACAAAACAGCTTAAATCTCATAACATTATACATTTATATATATTTATTATATTGACCTTTTACCTGTGCCTGGCTAACAATACACAAGTTACAATGACATGGCTCACGTGCATTCATGTGACCTTTGTTCTGTACAAAGTAACTTGTCTTAGCTTTTTTTTAGTAGACTAGTATTTTGTAAAATACAATCACATTTCAATAATTATACATTATATATGTATATACATTATTGCTATTTTGAAATAAGTTCTTAAAGTTATTTTTCCTAAAACATAGAACAGT